GTGGAATGAGGAGTACAGCTAGTTCGGATTAGGAAGCCTAATCCGAACTAGCTACTCCGTGCCGCGTGTAGCCGCGCGGCACGGGGTTCGAACTGCCGGCATTTAAAAATGGCGCCGGCCGGCTTTATGCAAATGAAGCCCGGGAAATTCAAATCCCGGGCTTCATTTGCAATTGCGGTATGCCTACATTACCCTCCTATTTCGAATTAGGAGGGTAGTGTAGACATACCCAGAGAGTTCAGAAAGACTCAGGCAAGAATTTTACCTTTGGCTGAGAGCAAGGATGTCCCTTGGTAGTTTCTGCAGGCTGTCCTGTCACCCTTCTTAAAGATGATCACTAAGATGGCAACTCTGAGCTCGCTGAGTATGGTTTCCTCTCTGCAGAGCATCAAATGAGGGAGTATAGGCATGATAGCAGAGATGGTCCTCCCTCCTTGAATATCTCAGCAGGTATTCCGTCAGGGCCTGTTGCCTTGTTGTCTTTCTTTTTTGTGTGTATGGCTGCTTGGATCTCGCAGATGGAAGGTTCATGATTTATATCACCACAGACAGGTAGACTGGTGATCACTCTGAAAGTGCTGTTGTCAACAATTGTGTCACAATTGAACTTGTGGCTGAAGTGTTCCTGCCATGAACTGTTGATGCCATCTTTGGTCTTAATAAGCAATGTCCAGTCTGCTGATCTGGGGTAACACTCTGTTTTGACAGTCCATAAATTGCCCTAATAGCACTGAAGAACTTACGACTACTGTTGGAGTCGGCATAGGCCTGAATTCCCTTTGCTGTGTCACTCCACCAGTTGTTTTTAAGGACTCTAATTCTTTGTTGGACTTAATTTCAGCAGAAGAAACATGAGCTTGCCAAGGTCGAGAAGTTGCTATTCCCAACTTGGAATGCTCTGCATTTAATATCAATTAGGTCCTGGATTTTTTTTGTTTGGATTTTTTTGGGGAAAAGGGGAGAACATGCCTTGGTGCTAGTCTAAGCGACATAATGGAATGTATTAGTCAGTAGTCTATCAAGCAGTCATCAGCATTGATCATAGCTTGAGTAATGAGGACATCTGCATCGTCCCGAGACCAGATGATAAAATAATTAAACAGGTGCCAGTATCCCTATCATGAGTATTGCCAGGAGGACTTGAAATAGTTCTTCTACTGGAATAGAGTGTTTATTATAACAAGACCATTGTCAGCACAGAGTGTAAGAAGAAGGTGACCATTAGAGTTCATTTTTCCTATACTTTCCCCTCCCAATGACACCATTCCACAGGTGGTACTCAGTACCTATTCTGGCATTAGAATACCTGAGAAGCACAAGCTTGACTTCCCTAGGGACACCTCTGAAGATGCTATTGAGGTGTGTGTAGAAGCATTCTTTAGTATCTTTGTCAGCTTGTAGGGTGGGAACATAAGCATGGACTACTGTTGTGAACTGGTTATTAGTCAGCCTAAGACATAGTGGCATTAGATGTTCGCTGACACCAGTAGGATGTTCACTGAGATTACATGTTAAGCGATTCTTAATAGCAAAGCCAATACCATGCCTACGGTGCTCGTCTTTATGTTTACCTCTCCAAAAAAAGGTATAGCCACCACTGATTTCTTTAATCTGACTCTCATCGACTAGTCGGGTCTCACACAAAGCAGCGATGTCAATGTTGAACCGCCTGAGCTCTCGGGCAATGAGAGCTGTTTGGTGCTCAGGCCATTCAGACTTGAAACTGTCCATCAGTGTCTTGGCATTCCAGGTTCCAAATCTAAATGTAAATGTTTTTCTCTTCTTATTGTTGCCCCTGATAATTGAAAGGTGCTCAGTCACAGCAACAGCTGCCAATGAACATTTCTGTCTTGTCCAAGTATGCGATGACCATCTTGCAGCTGCCGCCTCTGTGCCAGGTTGTGACTAGAGGCTTCCAGCCGCACAAGCCCCCATTGTAACTCACTGATCACTTAAGGACTTGAGTCATGAAAAGAGGAGGAATTAGAAGCGTTTATCCAAGGACGAACCTGTGTGTCATAGTGTTTTACATGGAGAAGCCATTGCACGTCAGCGATTACATGATGCTTGACCAAGGCACAGCCTGGAACCAACTGCAGAGAGGTCCAAGACAATTGGGAAGCCATGTCTTGAAGCATAGGAACTAGCAGCTCATCTGCTCAAAGCCAATGGCTGTCTGGGTTGCAGCTCATCTGCCATCTCCACAAGGCATCCGTCATTGGCCACTTGACAGAAGGATGGGGAAGGCTGTTCCCCTCACCAGCCAAAAAAATCTTTGGTGGGCCACCCATATGGTGTTGAGCTGATTGGCCAAGATCAGGAAACAAGGTGTGCCCACCATGTCCAAGCAGCTATGAAGAGGCAACCATAAAAATTGAGCGCAGCATTCAGACCAGTGAAACTTGACCATTTGAGAAAGACAGGCATCGCCATCACACTGCAAAAGTACTACCTCTCCACCACCACCACAAGCACCCAAAGACTAAAAGTTATAGGATGCACTCCAGAAAAGTAAAATAAAAAGCCCAATGGTAATTATAAAACTTTGGAAGAGCCTACTATGGGAATTAGCAAAATCCTGCTAGTTTGAGATATTTTACACACAAAGCAAAGCACTAGAAGATATATCTAGGCTTTCACTATGCCAAATAGGACAATACATTTGGCAATATAACACACATCTTCCATGTTCTTATGTATTTATTTGTAGTATTATTCATGATGTGTTAAGTGCTTTTCAAACACGTAAGAGGACTGTTTCTGCTGCAAAGGGGCTTGTAATCTACAAGTCAAACAAGCAGAGAGGTTGTGAAAAACCACATCTGACCACTACAAAATTTCAAAGACTAGAGGATGCTTACTCTATATAAAATATTTCAGACAAAAAAAAAAAAAAAAAAAAAAAAAAGATTCTCCAAACTTTACAATCCCTAAACAACAACAACAAAAAACAAAATAAATGCACTAAATGTTGCCGTTTCTGTATCATAACCCACAGTTTCCAAAGATTCTAATGGACTTTGACATAATCTGAAGTTAACATCCTAATTCAGTAATTTCCAGATATAAGGGGTCTACTAATCTTACAAAAGCATGAGTCAAAAATGATGCAAATGCCCTCTCCATAAATTGGTCAACCAAATCTCTGACCAAGCCAAGAACATCTAAGTCAAAAGAAGAAAACACAGTAACCTCTGCTTCCTACTTTTAGTTCTTGGCTGCTTCATTCACAACAGATAACCTACATTCAATCAGATGTTTTCATTGTGCCCGTCCAAGTGTATATAATAACATTTTCTATAGAACCAATTTGAATATTACACAATAGTGTTCAATGAAGCCTACACCCACTGATGACAAAATCTACTACATCTTTCCAACATTGCTATAATCTGTTATCTTATTCAATTCAAGTGCTAAAATATTAAGGGTCATAAACAATAAATAAAAAGTAATATTTGCATTTACACTGTGATTCTCTCTCCCCACAAATTCTGAAAAGCCATCTGAGCCCAATGCCTATTCTCAGAGTAGATAAAAATCAATGATTTTTTAAAATACAAATAATCAGATTATTATTTAAATCTGATTATTTTTAAATGAGAAATGTAGTATTTTATTGATGATTCTAAATAAAATAAAAGGTTAAATTTAAATCTCGCTACAAACATGCTACACCTACATTACTCTCATAAACATGAATTAATGGCTCTAGTCCAGGGGTGGGCAAAACGGCCC